TCTCCAAATCCAGTTGCCAGCACCTGATCTTACTCCACCTTCGACCTCCCAGCCACCTCACCTACCCGATACCCAGTAGTTTGATGTATCAAACCTAGAAGACTACTTGTTGTAGTTTTTTCTTTTTTTGTTCGGACATCTTGTATGTACATTTTCATATGGTTTATAATTAAATTTTTTCTTGGTTTATTATTTATTGTTTAGAATTGAATTACAATATTTATTAAAAATTAAATAAAAAATATTTTTGTCAAAAAAATTAAAAAAAAACAAAATAAATAAAAAAGTAAAAAGCTTGCGCGACGAAAAAGTTCCATAGGTCACGCAAAGACACTTTGCGTGACGCACACCTACGTCACGCAAACCCACTTTGCGTGACGCACGTCACTACGTCGTGTAAAGACACTTTGAGTGACGCATAACTACGACACGCAAACCCACTTTGCGTGACGCACACCTATGTCACGCAAACCCACTTTGCGTGACGCACGTCACTACGTCACACAAAGACACTTTGCGTGACGCATGGAACTTCTTCGTCACGCAAACCCTGCTTTCACAGGCTTAGCGCGACGCTTGTCGCACGACGAAGGTTCGTCATGCAAATTTTTGCGCGAAGTTTTTTGACTTTGCGCGACGAAGGACCTACGCCACCCAAAGTGTTTTTTGTACTAGTGCACTATTAGATGTGTTTGTTCTCTAAAATGAGAAACTTTTTAACTTTTGATGTTAATAAGGCCAAAAACACTATAAATTTATAATTAAGGAGGGTGTATTCCATAGATGTGATTATGACAGCCTGTCCCGAATTATTTGTACCGTAGGTGTAAAATGATGATTTTGCCCTTGGTAGTTATTTGTCATTTTAGGGTGATTGTTTTGTTGTTTTGTTGGTTGCACCCAGACCACACACCCACACCCACATCATCTTCTCCCGTGTCTCTCTGTCTCAAACTCCCTCTCTCTCTCCTTCTCACTTGTATGGACGAGACTCAAAACCCTTGCAAACATGACAGATTGAAGTGGAAAATGGTACCTTTGTGTTTGTGAGGTTCATACGAGTTTAACCATACCAATTTCAGGTAAGGAATCCTTCGATTTCACGTCGAACCAGGAATCTCCGATTTGGTCACTATTCATGCACAAGTGAATTATTGACTTTCAGGGAATTTGAAGCTTATAGGAAGCTTAGTGAGGTCTTTAGGAAGCTCGGGGTGGTTCGTGGGGTGGAATTGGACGTCGGGATTGTGAGTTGCAAGTTTGGCCGATTTTTCTTAAATTTCTCCGACGATATCTCGTGATCTTTGAGGCCTTAAACAGGTAAGGAAATGTTCTACAAGTTAAGAGCTTCAATTTAGTACTGGTTTCATGAAATTTGGTGATGAAACGAGTGAGAACGAAGGGTTTGAAGTTTTTACAGGTTTCCGGGGATCGGCGTTTCGCCAGAGAAGAATGCGGTATATTCCGTCAGTTTTGGACGGAATATGTTGACGCCGTCAGTCAGTTTTAACGGAATCTGTTAGGGTTTAACGAAATATTCCTGACGGCGTTAACTGACGCTGTCAGCGTGCCTGACACGTGGTCGGGCGTGGGGGGCGCGTAAGTCCGTGCACTCGTCAGTGTGTGGCGGCACGTGGGGTCTCGGAAAATTATTTTAAAAATATGGGGATGTTTGTGAGGTTGAGTAGATCACGTTGGTATATCCAAACATCCCATTTGAGCATTGTATGAAAAGTTATTACCTAGTTTTGGTTATGTGCTTTAGACCTGGTTTGGTACTGAGGTGATTTTGAAAAAAGCTGCTGTCAAAAAAAGCTGGGAGCTGTTTTTGTGTTTGGTAAACACTCAGCTTCAGCTTTTTTTCACAGTTTTAGATGAAAAAAAGCCAAAAACAAGAAGCTACAAAACCCAGCTTTGAAAAACTGGCTTTTTTTCACATCTGTTTTACATAAAAGTTTACCAAACACTCTAATACTACTTTTTTTTTTTCAAAAGCACTTTTACAAAAAAGTTTACCAAACACTCTGCTGCTTTATTTCACAGCTGCTTATTCTCACAGCACAGCAGAAGCAGCTTTTTTTCAAAGCACAGCAATACCAAACCAGCCCTTAAATTGACGATTTTATAGTTGTTTCGCATATAGGTGAGACCCATCCTGAGTACGAGCGCAATCGCTCAAGGCAAGGGGGTTACGACCCTTCAACATATCAGTGAGTGGGCTTTTGGTTTTTCGTATATACCTATATACTTGTGGTTTTTCCCAGAAAATGAAATGAAATGTTTATATGTTTTTAATGTTATGCATAGCATTTGCCTATTTATTTATGCATTAGTAGTTGCATATATGTATGTTTAGTGCTGCGGATGCACAGGTATGTGCCATGTAAGTTTATGGTTTATGATTGTGAATTAGTGGTTATGTAAGATGCATAAAGACCTCATAACCTGTACCCCCGGTGTTAATGCTCCCGCCCAGAGTAGGGCACAGTCCTTCACGTGATGTTCACCTCCCCACCATACGTTCAGCTTGGATCCAAGTTAGGTGCACAGTCCTGGTATAGACCACTATAGGTGGTTCCGACTCATAGGTGACCCGCGATTATTCGCTCAGTCTTCACGTGATCGTAGCACTTGAGCGTATTTATTTCCACCCAGTCCTATCGTACAAACCACTTTCGGTGGTTCCGACTCGTGTGCACGTATAGTTAGTGAGTTGGGGATTTGAGCTCTAGATTCAACCGTACAAGTCACGTTAGGTGACTCCGGCTGACATGTTACTTGCATTGATTGACATTACCTGGGTTACTTACATTTTATGTGGAGGCATTCGACATGGCATATTTCTGAACATGTTTTCGATATATGTGTATATTCTATTTTCTGGGAAATTATACAGGTTTTACGGCGAGGGGTTAGAACTTTTGATAATGAAATGATTTTGAAAAACTTTGTTTTTGCCCACTCACACTTTCTGTTTTGCGCTTCTCCAGGTTCTAGTTAGAAGCAGCTTTGGTGGTTCACGAGGACTTGACGGTGGTTCTGACAGAGCATCACAAATGTAGGATTACCTTTGGGTGTTGTGTATTTAGTATTCGTTCTTCTGGACTGCACTTATGTTTTCTGTGCTCTGATTATGTTTATCCCACTTAGTCTCACACTAGTGTGTTACTTTAATTAGTTTATTTAGTAGTTTGGTTTTTATTTATTCGTACTTTTATTATTATCTTTTGCTTCCGCACTGTGCACATGGCTACATCACCCTCACGTGACGGCCAACACGTCTTGATTACGGTCGGGGTGTGTCAGTGATTGAGTTTAATTGATTTGTAGAGATTTCATGTAAAATTTTAATTTAATTTCTTCGAAATTTAAGAGGGAATTGTGAGATTTGTGAATGCTTAAATTACTTTGGAGGAATTGTGAGATTTGTGAATACTTAAAATACACTATGAATTCTTTCTAATTCCCTCAAATTCCTCAATTTTTAAAATTTTTTAAAATAAAGAGAAATGCTGGTTGCTTTCCCTATTTGTTTTTCTCTAGCTACCTTCCCCACTTGACATGTATATTCTACTAGCAAATTAGCATAATTCATGCTTTTAAGTTGGAAAAGTAAAATTTATGATTTCAATGCATTAATTATGTGGTTATTTTACTCGTGGAATACACGTGTCATATGATGAGTGGAGAAAGTAGATAAGGAAAGCAAATGAAGAGGTAGTAAGCATTCCTTTAAAATAAATTCCTCTACCTAAATTGTTATAAACTTATTTAAAATCTTAATTGAATACACATGGATTTCAAATTTTTTTTATAAATTACCGCCCCTAATGCAAATTAATAGAGACACATTCATATTTTCGCCCCTAATAATTAATATTCATGTATTGGTACTTTCCTGTTTTGAAGTAGTTCTTTTTTTCGGTCACACGATAGAAAATTCTATTGGATTCAAATGGAAACAGTAACATTGGATGCAAATGTATCGTGTAGGCTTAAACTAATCCCACCTATAAACCGCACCATTACGAGTCACAAAGAAGCCAGTGGGTGTACCGCCCAGCTACTGACACTGGGAGCAAACACAAGTACTACCGACTTCAACTGTTTTCTGAGCCTTTGTATATCAAATACCGCCCCTTCCATCACAGCGTCAATTTGGATATCACCCTTAATCATGTCAATGAGAGTTTTCGAATCCGACTCCACTCAACCTCCATGAAACCTTCTTCTACACAAACAACGAGAGCCGCCCGATCACCTCCTCCGCCTCCACCATAAGACTAGAAACGCACGGGAAGGCATGCAACCATATCCCCCGGCGACTTTGAATTGACATGGAATATATTGAAGATCCAATTCTGTTCTGTAATGGTTGATTTTCCAATATAGTCTTATCCTACGTCTTAACCATGAACGTAATACTTTTTGTTGAAGGAATAGTGAAAGAATTTCATCTGTTCTTCGCTATGTTTTTCTATAGATTATCTGGTAATACTACTTGTTTACGACAGTCTAATTACATTCAAATTTACATGTGCTTTCTCTCCGTTTGAATTCACGAGTGTTTCTAATACAGTAATTTTAGTTGGATTTCAAATTTAATGGCTAACATATGAACTACAAGCTGAGATCCAAATATAATTAATGTGTCATAATCACGTTAAATGGCATGAAATTTTCCATGTGGACGAGAAAATAATTTGGTAGGAGCTTGAATAACTTCAAGGACGAGTAATTTATCAAGAACAAATGGCATGAAACTGATAAGATTATAGGCAGTGGCATTCACTCTTCTGATATTGTAAGTATATATTATTGGAAAACAGATAGATATGGTTTCAGCAGGAAGAAAAGGATACCGCAACTAAAGGAACAACTAACTCATCAAACTTTCAGATAAATTGCACAAATTAACATCAAAACAAAACAAATGCATGTCGAGTGAACCATGAACTAAAAGCCCTCCGTGGCCAAATTAATCACTTAATTTTTTGTTCTTATTTCGAAGGCATGGCGAAGCGGCACAGTGGGCAAACCCTGCTTTTGTCCAACCACTCAACAATGCAATCCTTATGGTAAAGATGCGAGCATGGCATGTGAATTGCTTGCGAACCAACCTCCATCTCCTCCATGCAAACCGAACACGTCGCAGATACTTCCACTCTCGCCCTCTTTAGCTTCTCGATCGATGACTTACTTGCAGGCACAAATTTAGGGTCATCCGTCTCCAAGCCCTCAAATTCATCATCAACAACAACAGTGATGAACGCTGCCATTTGAACAAACATGTCATCACTGTAAGGTCTAGAATCAGTTTCAGCGTCTAGGGATTCTTGTACTATTTTTTCCACCACGGAGTCGCAAATCTGAGGAGGGACATGCAGGAAAGAAACTAGAGCTTCAGCTAGGGCGGCCCTTGACCTGTCTTCATCCATCAAGAAATCAAGTTCGAGTTCGAGTTCCTCGGAGTAGGTTCCTTCGTAGTGTTCACCGTCATCCTCGTCCTCGGAGTGCAAGGCTGCAGGCTGACTTGAAAATATTATGGCCTTGACAGCCAGCAAGAACTGGGTGCGCGGCAACTCGTTGTCAGGTTCAAAAACCTCCAAGTGCCTCACTTCGCAATGGTATCCCACCACTTGCCGATCACTTTCACTTTCCATGGGTGGATCAGAAAAAGAAATTTAAGAAAATTAAGAAGAAACTAAGAACCTGAGAGATGGAATTAATTAGTACGCTATTTCTAGTTCTTCCGAAAGCGAATTAATACGTGAATTACTTGAGCTATGAATCATAATCCACCTACCCACCTATATATACACACACGCGCGCGCGCGCGCGAATTTCCTTGTTAGGGTAGGAATCATATTTCCAAATGAAACCAGGATTCGGAAATAATAATAAAAAATGGTGATTTTGAATGCGGTACCTATTTATTAACGTTCTTTTATTAAAATTCTTGAAATTAATGCAATAATGTATTTCTATGTAGGTTATTATAATTTTTAATTTAAAATTTGATAAGTTATTTATATTAATGAGATTTTAAATAAAATTCATAATATGTTGAAAATATATAAAAAAGAAAAATTATACTTAAATAAAACCCATGATTTGTCATTACTTATATTAATGACATTTTACATACAAAAAATTGGTAATTTTTATACGATAAATTTTACATACAAAAAGTTGGCACATTTTATACAAAAAAAGATGATATGTTTTATATAATAGGTACATTTCATTTCATATAAAAAAAAAAAAAAAAAAAAAAAAACAATGGGTACATTTTATGACACACCTCGACCGAAGTCAGGACATGCTGGCCGTCACATGAGAATGACGTAACCATGTGCACAGTGCGGAAGCTAAGAATAATAATAAAGTACGAATAAATAAAAAACCAAGCTATACACCAAGTAGAAAATATACATGTGCAGTCCGGGGGAATAAACACTAACTAACACACCCAGAGGTGGTCGTACACTGGTGATAGTCTGTCAGATATGCCATGAATTCCTCGAGAGCCACCAAAAGAGTTATCCAAACTAGAACCTGGAGGGGCGCAAAACAGAAAGTGTGAGTGGGTAAAAACAAAGCTTCTCAAAATCATTTCAATATCAAAAGTACTAACCCCTTGCCGTAAAACCTGTATAGTTTCCCAGAAAATAGAATATGCACATATATATAAAACATGCTCAGAAGTATGCCATGTCAAATGCCTCTAAATAGAATGTAAGTACTCAGGTAATGTCAATCAATGTCATGTAATCTGTCAACCGGAGTCACCTAACGTGACATGTACGACTGAATCTAGAGCTCAAATCCACAACTCACTAACTATACCTACACACAAGTCGGAACCACCTAAAGTGGTCTGTACGACAGGACTGTGCACCTAACTTGGATCCAAGATGAGCGTGTGGTGTGGGAGGTGAACATCACGTGAAGGACTGTGCCCTACTTTAGGCAGGAGCACTAACACCGGAGGTGCAGGTTATGAGCTCTCTATGCATCTCAAATCACTACTAAACACAAAACGTAAACCATAACTTACCTAGCACTTACATGTGCGTCCGCAGCACCAAACATATGTATATGTAACTAATAATGCATAAATAAATAGGCAACATAATGCATGGCATTTAAAACATATAAACATTTCATTTCGTTTTCTGGGAAAATCACAAGTATATAGGTATATACGGAAAACCAAAAGCCCACTCAGTGGTATGTAGAAGGGTCGTAACCCCATTGCCTTGAGTGACTGTGCTCGTCCTCGGAATAGGTCTCACCTATATGCGAAACAACTATAAAAACGTTAATTTAATGCACATAACCCAAACTAGGTAATAACTTCTCATACAATGCTTAAATGGGGTGTGTGAGTACACCAACGTGATCTACTCAACCTCACGAACAACCTCATATTTTTAAAATAATTTTTTGACGCCGCACATGCCCCCATGCGCAGGCCAAAGCACGGCCACACGCGCTGCCCACGCGTAGGCACATGCCTAGCACACTGACGGCGTCAGTTAACGCCGTCAGGAATATTCCGTTAACTTTGACAGATTCCGTTAAAGTTAACCTAACGCCGTTAGGAATATTCCGTCGTCTTCTCCGACCAACCTCCGGCACCGTCGCCGTCGCCGGAAAATCGGGAAATTTTCTAAACTTAATTTCTAACTCGTTTTTTCACCCAAATTTCACGAAATTGGTACCAAAATGAAGCTTACAACTAGAGGAACAAAACCTTACCATTTTCAAGCATTAAAACCAACAGAATCTCGCCAGAAAAATCTCACCAAATCCGGCCAAACCTGCAACTCGCGATCCCGACGTCCAAAACCTTCAAACGAACCACCCTGAGCCTCCTAAGGACCTCACCAAGCTTCTTACAACCCTGAAATTCCCAAAAACACATGATTTTACATGTGCATGAACAGTACCCCGAATTGAGCATCTCGGGCTCGACGTGAAAACGAAGGTGTCCTTACCTGAAATGGTATGGTTGAACTCATATGGACTTCACGAACACAAAGGTATGATTTTCTTCCTCGATCTACAACATTCTCGAGTGACTTGGTCTTGTCCGTACACAAGCAAAAGAAGAAGAGAGAGAGACAAGGACACGGGATAGAGAGAGTCAACGGGAGTGGGTGATGGAAATGAAGATGGATGTGTGGTTGAGATGCAACCAACCAAGCACCCAAAACAACCACACAAACAACAATTATCCACTAGGGGGAAAACCGTCATTTCACACCTGCGGTACGAAAAATTCGGGACTGGCTGTCACATTTTACACAAAAGAGATGGTACTTACAAAAAAAAAAATGTTACGTTTTACATATAACAAAGTGGTACATTTGCAAAGACAAATGGGTACATTATTAATAAATTATGGGTACAAATAAAAGGTCAAAAAAATATGAGTACAAATAAAAGTTTGAAAAATATGGACACAAAAAGAAATTAATATATGGATACAAACTCAAATTGAATAGAAAATTGGTACAATTTTTTTTAAAAAAAAGATGCAAATTAAAATGGGTACAAACTAAAAACAAAAATATATGATACAAAATTTAGCCATAAATATAAATATATCAAATGTAACGTTTCTAACACTAAATGAATAATTTAGAAATAAAATTTAATTATCTTGATATGTAAAATATTTTATTATTGAAATAATTAATGATGTTTATTAAAACCAAGGGACCTGATTTTTTTAGTACATCGATATTTGTACACTAAGAGGAGGAGGAGTTCGGCAAAGCCACACAATGGGCAGACTAATTTGGTATCGAATTCGTCATTGACGAGATTCGAACCTAAGACCTCTCACTTTTAAGTGAAGATGAATACCACCAGATCGTAGTATTGAGGAATTAAAATTGAAAAGGAATAAGGTTTCAATCAATAAAGTTGAAAAAAAGAAGGATGTGAACCTAATTTCTCTAATAAAAAAAATATATTAAGAGTGGGGTTCCTTATTTCCTTAGGATTACTAGGCTGTCAATAAAGATATGAGGGTATTATTGTAATTATGCAGCGAAAAAAAAAAATTAGAAACTTTTGTAAAATGTGTCCCTCGTAAAGAACCTAAGTATAATTGAATCTATTATTAATCGCTCTTGTGTAATTAAAAAAGGGCCAAATGGCATTTACACCTTTTAAATTTAGGGTAATTTTCTAAAAAAAACCATAACATTTGAATTTTTTTCACATTGTGCTTTGAGGTTTTAAAATTGTATAAATTTATACCTCTTGTATGTTTGAACCATCTCATCCTCCATTAGATTGATGAGTTTTTTCATCAATATGATGCAAATGTGACTTACACGCCAGCTTCATGTACAAGCTTATTATGTCATCAATTTAGTGAAAGATCAATTAATTAATCAGATCAAATGCCAAAATTGATACAGTTTCATTATTTTATGGTGTAATATGAGAAAAATGGTTTCCTTTTCAAAAATCATTATATTTTGAAGGCAACAATAGCATTTCCAGATAGTTTGAAACCATTATATCTGGTGCTTTCATTATATTTTGAAGAATATGAGTCAGTTAATTTAATTAGGAGAACTAGTTTTCAACTAGAATACTTTTGTTTCTTAATAGGGAACTTCCTATTTCTTAATAGGAAACTTTCAAAACTCCTCCGCAACGGGAAGAAGTTCTTCCCGTTCGAGGAAGGCATATTAAGATCAAGTCTTGCCAAAATCGAATTTCCCTTTTGTGGACAAAACACTTCCACGCGTTAAAAGAAGGTTCACCCATTTGATTTGACAGTATTCAGTTCACCGATATCCATTGCGTTTAGAGTATCTCCACATCTTGGGCATCCATCTTCTCAAAGATACTTTCCCAATATGTTATTGTCAACTTTAGTAGGCCACCTTGAAAAGGAAAAACACAAAGACGGTAAAAACTCGATCGTCGGAAAGTATGGTGTGGTCAGTCCACACCCTTATACATATGAGAAGAAAAATCCAAGTTTCTTCCGTAATCAAGAACGTCGCTTAGTAGCACGAACAAGTTTACACACATAAAATGCATTCACACACAACCCCGGGGATTCCCAAATCAAATATGCATTTCGAAAAGCTAGACGCTTTCTGTGCATGCTACAAGAAATGTTCTACACGCCTTAAATAACTGGCATAGTTTGTGTCCACTTGCCGATTCTAAGGTTATCACATATCTACCGGACCCCAAATATTTCTATCATCAGAAGGCGGAGACTCTAAAAAAGCTCCGAGTTGCGGTCTTCCTGGTTGATTTCTTCCAAGAGGGAAGTTCCAAAATGAATCAGAGTTCCAAAATGAAAACAAGAGACAAGAATACGTGTACAAAAATAATATTTTTTGTTTGTTTAATGATTTTGGGGTTACGATCTCTCAAATTTGGTCCTCTGATTCGATCTCCGTAAGATGTTGATTTGTTGATCCAAGGGCCGTCGAGGCTTGATCTTGGATGAACAGTTGTAAGTTTCTTCAAGGGCCTTCGTGACTTTGATCTTGAAGGTTGATGGAAGTTTCTTCAAGGGCCTTCAGGGCTTGATCTTGAATGTTGATGGATGAGCGGATCTTCAAGGGCTTTTGGGCTTGATCTTGAAGAACGGTTGGTTTTCTTCAAGGGCCGTCGAGGCTTGATCTTGAATGAACAGTTGGTTTTCTTCAAGGGCTTTTGGGCTTGATCTTGAAGAATAGATGTGTGGATTTGTTTGTTGATCCAAGGGCCGTCGGGGCTTGATCTTGGATGAACGGATCTTCAAGGGGGGTTGGGCTTGTTCTTGAAGAATGGTTGTATAGGTTTGTTGAGGTCGTTGATCCAAAGGGCCGTTGGGGCTTGATCTTAGGATGAACGGATGATGAATGAATCTTCAAGGGGCGTTGGAATTGATCTTGAAGAATGGGTGTATGAGTTTGTTGAGGTTGTTGATCCAAAGGGCCGTTGGAGCTTGATCTTAAGATGAACGGATGATGAATGATGAACACTTTCTTCAAGGGCCGTCGGGGCTTGATCTTGAATAATGGTTGTGTGGATTTCTTCAAGGGATTTTGGGCTTGATCTTGAAGGTTGAAGGATGAGTGGATCTTCAAGGGTTTTTGGGCTTAATCTTGAAGAACGATTGGATGTGTGGATTTGTTTGTGTTGTTGATCCAAAGGGCCGTTGGGGCTTGATCTTAGGATGAACGGATCATGAATGATGAACACTTTCTTCAAGGGCCGTCGGGGCTTAATCTTGAATAATGGTTGTGTGGATTTCTTCAAGGGCTTTTGGGCTTAATCTTGAAGAACGATTGGATGTGTGGATTTGTTTGTGCTGTTGATCCAAAGGGCCGTTTGGGCTTGATCTCAGGATGAACGATGAACACTTTCTTCAAGGGCCGTTGGGGCTTGATCTTGAGTTGGTGGAAGTTCTTCAAGGGCCGTCGGGACTTGATCTTGAAGGAGGATTTGACGAAGAATGAAGAGTGCTTTCTCCATTCTTCGGGATTCTTGGGAATTTGGGGGTTGGATGCTTGAGAGCTTTAGAGTTTCAAAGCTTCAAGGATTTTGGATGTGTGGGGAGTATTCTCTTCCATTTTGGGAGTAGAGAAATGTATTTGTGAATTGGTCTCCATATTCCTCTTGATGGAGAAGCCTATTTATAGGCTTTGAGAGTGAATCACCACCATTCATTTTTTTGGTGAAGTGAGTGGATGATGTAGGTGAAGTGAATGGAGGTTGTAGGTGAAATGAGTGGAGGTTGTAGGTAAAGTAAATGAATGTTGTAGGTGAAATGAGTGAAGGTTGTAGGTGAAGTAAATGGATGATGTAGGTGAAGTAAATGGATGATGTAGGTGAAATGAGTGGAGGTTGTTGGTGAAGTGAGGGAATGGTATAGGTGAAATAAGTGTTGTAATTTTAATACATTAGTTAACATTTACTTCACTGAAATTTCGATGTCTACGTAAATTCCTCCACCTGAATTGTTATAAACTGATTTAAAATCTTAATTGAATACACATGGATTTCAAATTTTTTTTTTTATAAATCACCGCCCCTAATGCAAATTAATAGAGACACATTCATATTTTCGCCCCTAATAATTAATATTCATGTATTGGTACTTTCCTGTTTTGAAGTAGTTCTTTTTTTCGGTCACACGATAGAAAATTCTATTGGATTCAAATGGAAACAGTAACATTGGATGCAAATGTATCGTGTAGGCTTAAACTAATCCCACCTATAAACCGCACCATTACGAGTCACAAAGAAGCCAGTGGGTGTACCGCCCAGCTACTGACACTTGGAGCAAACACAAATACTACCGACTTCAACTGTTTTCTGAGCCTTTGTATATCAAATACCGCCCTTTCCATCACAGCGTCAATTTGGATATCACCCTTAATCATGTCAATGAGAGTTTTCGAATCCGACTCCACTCAACCTCCATGAAACCTTCTTCTACACAAACAACGAGAGCCGCCCGATCACCTCCTCCGCCTCCACCATAAGACTAGAAACGCACGGGAAGGCATGCAACCATATCCCCCGGCGACTTTGAATTGACATGGCATATATTGAAGATCCAATTCTGTTCTGTAATGGTTGATTTTCCAATATAGTCTTATCCTACGTCTTAACCATGAACGTAATACTTTTTGTTAAAGGAAGAGTGAAAGAATTTCATCTGTTCTTTGCTATGTTTTTCTATAGATTATCTGGTAATACTACTTGTTTACGACAGTCTAATTACATTCAAATTTACATGTGCTTTCTCTCCGTTTGAATTCACGAGTGTTTCTAATACAGCAATTTTAGTTGGATTTCAAATTTAATGGCTAACATATGAACTACATGCTGAGATCCAAATATAATTAATGTGTCATAATCACGTTAAATGGCATGAAATTTTCCATGTGGACGAGAAAATAATTTGGTAGGAGCTTGAATAACTTCAAGGACGAGTAATTTATCATGAACAAATGGCATGAAACTGATAAGATTATAGGCGGTGGCATTCACTCTTCTGATATCGTAAGTATATATTATTGGAAAACAGATAGATATGGTTTCAGCAGTAAGAAAAGGATACCGCAACTAAAGGAACAACTAACTCATCAAACTTTCAGATAAATTGCACAAATTAACATCAAAACAAAGCAAATGCATGTCGAGTGAACCATGAACTAAAAGCCCTCCGTGGCCAAATTAATCACTTAATTTTTTGTTCTTATTTCGAAGGCATGGCGAAGCGGCACAGTGGGCAAACCCTGCTTTTGTCCAACCACTCAACAATGCAATCCTTATGGTAAAGATGCGAGCATGGCATGTGAATTGCTTGCGAACCAACCTGCATCTCCTCCATGCAAACCGAACACGTCGCAGATACTTCCACTCTCGCCCTCTTTAGCTTCTCGATCGATGACTTACTTGCAGGCACAAATTTAGGGTCATCCGTCTCCAAGCCCTCAAATTCATCATCAACAACAACAGTGATGAACGCTGCCATTTGAACAAACATGTCATCACTGTAAGGTCTAGAATCAGTTTCAGCGTCTAGGGATTCTTGTACTATTTTTTCCACCACGGAGTCGCAAATCTGAGGAGGGACATGCAGGAAAGAAACTAGAGCTTCAGCTAGGGCAGCCCTTGACCTGTCTTCATCCATCAAGAAATCGAGTTCGAGTTCGAGTTCCTCGGAGTAGGTTCCTTCGTAGTGTTCACCGTCATCCTCGTCCTCGGAGTGCAAGGCTGCAGGCTGACTTGAAAATATTATGGCCTTGACAGCCAGCAAGAACTGGGTGCGCGGCAATTCGTTGTCAGGTTCAAAAACCTCCAAGTGCCTCACTTCGCAATGGTATCCCACCACTTGCCGATCACTTTCGCTTTCCATCGGTGGATCACAAAAAGAAATTTAAGAAAATTAAGAAGAAACTAAGAACCTGAGAGATGGAATTAATTAGTACGCTATTTCTAGTTCTTCCGAAAGCGAATTAATACGTGAATTACTTGAGCTATGAATCATAATCCACCTACCCACCTATATATACACACACACGCACGCGCGCGCGAATTTCCTTGTTAGGGTAGGAATCATATTTCCAAATGAAACCAGGATTCGGAAATAATAATAAAAAATAGTGATTTTGGATGTGGTACCTATTTATTAATGTTCTTTGATTGAAACCTGATTGGTTTCGGTTTTTTATTGAAGTCCTTGAAATTAATGCAATAATGTATTTCTATGTAGATTATTATAATTTTTAATTTAAAATTTGATAAGTTATTTATATTAATGAGATTTTAAATAAAATCCATAATTTGTTGAAAATATATAAAAAAGAAAAATTATACTTAAATAAAACCCATGATTTGTCATTACTTATATTAATGACATTTTACATACAAAAAATTGGTCATTTTTATACGATACATTTTACATACAAAAAGTTGGCACATTTTATACAAAAAAGATGATATGTTTTATATAATAGGAATATTTCATTTCATTTAAAAAAAAAAAACAATGGGTACATTTTACACAAAAGAGATGGTACTTACCAACAAAAAAAAAAAATGGGTACATTTTACATATAACAAAGTGGTACATTTGCAAAGACAAATGGGTGCATTATTAATAAATTATGGGTACAAATAAAAGGTCAAAAAAAATATGAGTACAAATAAAAGTTTGAAAAATATGGACACAAAAAGAATTTAATATATGGATACAAACTCAAATTGAATAGAAAATTGGCACAATTTAAAAAAAAAAAAAGGTTGCAAATTAAAATGGATACAAACTAAAAATAAAAATATATTATATAAAATTTAGCCATAGATATAAATATATCAAATGTAACGTTTCTAACACTAAATGAATAATTTAGAAATAAAATTTAATTATCTTGATATGTAAAATATTTTATTATTGAAATAATTAATGATGTTTATTAAAACCAAGGGACCTGATTTTTTGAGTACATCGATATTTGTACACTAAGAGGAGAAGGAGTTCGGTAAAGCCAGACAATGGGCAGACTAATTTGGTATCGAATTCACCATTCACGAGATTCGAACCTAAGAACTCTCACTTTTAAGTGAAGATGAATACCACCAGATTGTAGTATTGAGGGATTAAAATTGAAAAGGAATAAGTTTTCAATCAATGAAGTTGAAAAAAAGAAGAATGTGAACCTAATTTCTTCAATAAAAAAAATATATTAAGAGTGGGGTTCCTTATTTCCTTAGGATTACTAGGCTGTCAATAAAGATATGAGGGTATTATAGTAATTATGCAGCGAAAAAAAAAAATTAGAAACTTTTGTAAAATGTGTCCATCGTAGAGAACCTAAATATAACTGAATCCATTATTAATCGCTCTTGTGTAATTAAAAAAAGGCCAAATGACATTTATACCCTTTAAATTTAGGGTAATTTTCTAAAAAAACCATAACATTTGATTTTTTTTCACATTGTGCTTTGAGGTTTTAAAATTGTATAAATTTATGCCTCTTGTATGTTTGAACCATGTCATCCTCCATCAGATTGATGAGTTTTTTCACCAATATGATGCAAATGTGACTTACACGCCAGCTTCATGTACAAGCTTATTATGTCATCAATTTAGTGAAAGATCAATTAATTAATCAGATCAAATGCCAAAATTGATACAGTTTCATTATCTTATGGTGTAATATGAGAAAAATGGTTACCTATTAAAAAATCATTATATTTTGAAGGCAACAATAGCATTTCCAGATAGTTTGAAACCATTATATCTGGTGCTTTCATTATATTTTGAAGAATATGAGTCAGTTAATTTAATTAGGAGAACTAGTTTTCAACTAGAATACTTTTGTTTCTTAATAGGGAACTTCCGATTTCTTAATAGGAAACTTTCAAAACTCCTCCGCAACGGGAAGAAGTTCTTCCCGTTCCAGGAAGGCATATTAAGATCAAGTCTTGCCAAAATCGAATTTCCCTTTTGTGGACAAAACACTTCCTCGCGTTAAAAGAAGGTTCACCCATTTGATTTGACAGTATTCAGTTCACCGATATCCATTGCGTTTAGAGTATCTCCACATCTTGGGCATCCATCTTCTCAAAGATACTTCCCAATCTGTTATTGTCAACTTTAGTAGGCCACCTTGAAAAGGAAAAACACAAAGACGGTAAAAACTCGATCGTCGGAAAGTATGGTGTGGTCAGTCCACTCCCTTATACATATGAGAAGAAAAATCCAAGTTTCTTCCGTCATCAAGAACGTCGCTTAGTAGCACGAACAAGTTTACACACATAAAATGCATTCGCACACAACCCCGGGGATTCCCAAATCAAATATGCATTTCGAAAAGCTAGACGCTTTCTGTGCATGCTACAAGAAATGTTCTACACGCCTCAAATAACTGGCATAGTTTGTGTCCACTTGCCGATTCTAAGGTTATCACATATCTACCGGACCCCAAATATTTCTATCATCAGAAGGCGGGGACTCTAAAAAAGCTCCGAGTTGCGGTCTTCCTGGTTGATTTCTTCCAAGAGGGAAGTTCCAAAATGAATCAGAGTTCTCAAAGAAGATGTAAAATGCGACAGCGGATGCCAAAAACATCCCTAAAAGCACCAGATAGATCTGCCACTCTGCATTTTTGAAACAAGGGGTAAGCAAAATTGTCAACCACATACGCACACGCACGCACAACACACACAAACAGAGAGAGAGAGAGATACCTTTCCAATCTGCTGGAACATTTAACTTAGTCACCACAGCTCCCCATTGATTAGAAGTAGTAAGCACAACCCTGAAACCAAGGAATATGTTAGTATAAAACAACCAAAAGGGGAGAGAATTATATTTTTTTTGGGTGATAAATACAATATCTAAATATACAGCAAAATCGTCTCAAATTTGAATTTCATTCAACGTATCCAGCAAGGGTTGGTACTCATTCCAATGAAAAGTATCAAGAATCAAGACAAATGCTTTCAGAAAAGTATAAAGAATCAGAAGAACGAAAAAAAAAAAAAAAAAAAGAGCAAGCATGTATTTATTTGTACTACTTTACAAAATAAAGTTAAAATTCAATTATATTTAAGAAATGGTTAAGAAGTCCTTTGATGTTTAAGCATTGATGAATCAATTATGGTGCTTCAAAACACAACACATATGTGTAGAACTGGTTCGAAAGCCTTACCTTTCAGTTGGACAGAACTCCAAAGTTTCAATGCCTGTACCCAGATGTAGCCTCTTACTCCAGTGGCAAATTTCCATTTTCTTAACTTCAACCACGCATATATCACCATCTTTGCTTCCCCTGCAATTTTAAGAATAACTAATTGCATATTAGCCAAAGCGATATCATAAACCATGTTACAAACATATGGCATTCTCAAATTTACCAAGTCATCAGAACACTGTATCCTCATGTTTTGTGACTCATCGTAAGATCGAAAAAAGAACATAATGAATGATTGATTCATATACTTTGGTTTTGAATAAGTAAAATAGCAGATTGAAAGTATGGTGTTCTCGCTCTTATATGTGTACTCAGTAAGTGAATACATGTGGAAGCACACCAATCTGTGTGTATCAAACTATTAACCTACTCGAGTCCCTAAGTGTCAACAAGTCTTCCATACAGTATCCAACTACCAGCAATCTTTGACTTTCAAATCGATGCACCCAGCAGAGAAATTTGTTATCTAACAAATAGTCAAGTAAAGCCTATTACTATAAACAAAGGATCAAATGCAAAGTTAAGTGCTTACAGTGCAAGATATTTCCCATCTTTGCTAACAGACATAACAGAAGCAGACTTTTTAAGTAGCCGCTTATGCCCAATTTTACTCCATGTACTTATGTCCCAAACTGCAGTGAGAGCTTTATCGCCTGTTTGATTCATACAAATACATTTAATTGTCTGGTAACCAATAATATAGCAGTAAATATTGTTTTACTTCAGAATTCAGAGAGGTAGACCTTTTTGAACAGTGCAAAACAGAAAGGGTTTTGTCCCATCTTTGGAAAACCGGCAAAGTTCAATCTTTTCATCCTGTAAAAATAAAAAACAAAACATTATGCCAAAATCCCACCAAAGGAAAAAAGAAATCTAATATTATGCGAATATAAGAAAATTGGCGGTTTATTTTCAAAAGTTAAAGAAATCATTTATACCGAGTTGCGAGTCAAAGTAGTCAAAACACCATCTTCCAGCTTCCATATTCTTGCTGAGCCATCCGTCGATGTTGAAGCTAGGAACTCAGAGTCTAGGCTAAAATATAATACAAAAAGGTTTGAAATATTAAGAATCAAGAACAGGACAAATATGGAAATCTAAAAATAAATTCAGTCCATAAACAAAAGAAAATAAAAAGGAAAATAAACCCATTAGCGCCTGTTTTTTTTTTCTTTTTTTTTTCATTATATTACCAACTTGTAATTTTTATACTATATTCAATCACGACTGAGATGGTTCAACAATGAGTTCAGAGATTCTTTGATGAGTGGAATAAGTACTGCAAGAAAGCGTAAAGGTTTTCTCCTATGTAACTACATTGACATTGCTTAAAAAAATACATAACTCCTTTTACAGTCATATCCCAATCTCGTTTCTCACCTGAAATCCATATCACGCACAGACTTATGCGCTTTTGGTTCATCTAAGATTATTCGCAGGCTTGGCCACTCCAAAATTCTCAAATGCCCATCCTACAGTTAATTAGGACATAAGTAAAAACATGTTTCAAACAAAAAAAGATAACTAGAGTAGCAGCACGAGAAGTCAAATGATAATAATGGATGGAACTATAGATTACTGCTTACCACACCGCCAGTAGCTAATTTAGATCCATCAACACTAAAAGCTAGACAATTCTGGGGACCAATTCCTTGCAGAGGAGGTAGTTCTTTTGCCAGCAGCTTTGCTGTTGATTCTTGGCCATATAACTCAAACGATCTACAATATTTAAAAAAACCTCATTTGACGGCTAGATGCTAAAGTGGCAACGTAAGGCAAAGTACCAATGGTGGTCATATTTGGAATACAGTGTCTGCTAAGTGTCGATAAAAAGACCAGCTAACACAGAAGGAGAAGCAAAAGGAGAAGAAGGTAGACTAGTCTACGACCAATAGCAAGTTAGACATAAAATCCGTGCAATAAAGTATCCTCATCATCCTTTTGACTCTGTCTTAGTTTTCTCCTTATAAATCCCGCCAAAAATTGAATGATATCTTGATATGAAACTTATGTTCTTCAGTTTAAGTGAATCAAAATATGCAACTATAAAGCATTGATATTAGGCCACTTCAGAATCAAGAAGAACGAGACCAAATTATCTTTTGGTTTCTAAATTTCAACTGATCCAATAAAGCAAAGATATCATTTCCACTCAAATAAAATAGCATTGAAAAGCTGGAAGGAATTCCACCGATATGTTTACCCCACTATCAAAGCCCTAATAGCGTATAGTTTTATCAAATTTTCAAGCAGTGAATCATATGGTTAGCTTTAGGTTAATCAAAGAGAGCTACACCGACAACATCAACCACCTTTTCCATGTCAAAGTTGAGTCCCTACTTAGGTTCCAAACTGGTTTGTGATACTATAAAATGTGAAAGCTTCATCGAGACATTCACCGGTTACAGAGACCAAAATCACATTAACTATCACAAGACCCTATATAAACTTGGTTCATATTGATGATAAATTTTCCAGCATATCATACACGTGTGGAAGTGTATGAAGGAAAGGAAAAAGATAAGCTCCAAGGGAAACATAAAATGGAAACTCCGTGCTCAACCAAGAATGACATATCCCACTGAATATGAATTGTAAACATAGTAAGGGCCAATCTGGAAATGCTTCTTGAAAACCCTACATAAGCGCTATTACTAGAAGCACTTGTATTAGAAGCCTGCTGAAATTTTTAATAAAAATTCAATTGCTTCCATAAAAAGCACTTCCAGGTAATTTCAAACCCATGAGCACTTTTGTAACTTTTTCGACCAAACATTGTCGTAAATGCTTCTGGTTATCTAAAACCACCTTAGCTATTTTAAAAACACTTCAATAGAGGCCTTAATTACCGCTAGTTAATCAATAAAGTGTGTCATTTAAATAAAGTGATGGATTCACTGACTAGAAAATTACATATATAGGCTACAGATTCATCTTATATAAATCTCGCAACGGTAAGATTCACAGAAAACAACAAAAAAGATGGTAAATTTGGAAAAAAAATAAATAAGTGCAAGAGAAAGAAGCTCACCTGCAGCCACCATTAGAGGTAGAGCAAACGACGTCGTCGCCGCTTGGGTGCACCGCAATCGAAACTACATCACCCTCCACTTCTTCAAGCACATACGTCGTCTACAAAGTAACCAACAACCAAATTAGTAAACCCCAACCCAACACAAAAGTCAAACTCAACCTTCCTTGGAGCTCTCTTACGTTAACCCCTCAAACAAAACAAAACAAAAACCCAATTCACAGAGGAAGAAAAAGCTTCCAAAAAATACATATATAAAAACACGGATTTTAGAGAGAGAAAGAGAGAGACCAGGGGAGAGGAGGAGTGAGAAGTGGTCTTGGGGTCGAAGGAGAAGATCTCGAGAACTGACGAAGAGGAAGAAGGGGAGTCCTTAGCCCTGGACCTCCCAAACACCACCCAATTGGCGTTTTCGGAACGGCGGATCCACGACCCGCACGTGACCGGACCCTGCTGATCGGACCCACCGCTCGCCATTCAATTCAACTTGGGAGAGAGAGAGAAGCAAGAGGCAAAGTCTGAATCAGATGGAAGAAGAATTCAGGAATTCGTTAGAGATTTAATCCTTTTTTTTGTTTTTATTATTTATAGAGGGATTGAAAAAAAAGAAAAGAAAAGTCTGAAAAGGATTATGTTGTTGTTGTTATTGTCGTTGTGGGTCCTACGTATGTACATCGACGACGGTGATGCCGGTGACAAAGCTGGCCGTGATCGATGTCAACGCCTTTGTGAAGCATTGTTGATGGATATTCGCTCAAAATTCTACGCGTTTTTAACTTTCCCATTTCTGCTCTTGAGGCCCATTTAAGGCCCATCGATAGTTTCTACATTACCTTTTAACCCAATTTTAGAGCATCTCTAAAATAAAAGTAAAAAAGTCTGCATGAGCAATAACAGTTAAAAAAAAACAGCTTCAGTGTTTTCCAATAAAAATGTAAGTTCCTACGTGGCATGACGTAAGTTGTTTTTGGTATTTTTTTCTTACAGTTTGTCCTTAGTCCATTACATCACACATTGCCAGTAACATTTCCAATACTAAGAAACAAATGTTTTTTTTTTTTGAACAAATGATATTACCTACACTAAGAGAAATGGATGAAGTTTACCCGTTGTTGTACATGCTAAATTACTACATACGTTTTTGTTTTTTTTTTGTCAATTGTTTAGTATTAACATTTCATTATTTTTGTACACTTTTTTGTGCTAGGCACCTTATGTGCTTATGCTTCCAGGCTTTACCACAAACTTCCATACTCCTTCCCTCTCTCACTTTTTCTGCAAACAAGTTTAAGATAATAAAGAAAAAAAACTCTACAAAAACAACAAGAGCCAAACCCCTAAACCAATCTGAATCTTTTGTTGTGTCCTCTAATTAAAGTATGAATTTTGTGGGCTTTATTATGCTAAATCAGCAAATTCATCAACATACCTTCACCAGTTTGATTACTGTGTCCTCTAATTCAAAGAGACTACAAAATTGCATAAGAACTTGTAATTTGAAATTGGGGAAAGCATAATAAATTTGAAGAAAAACAGCAACCGTGTTGAATTTCCACGCATGCATTTTGAGTTCAAAATTCTCTCGTTATCTAAATTATTGTAATAATTTCGTGTCTCTTCTATTCTTTAAAAATTAAGAACAAACATATGTATACTGGCGTATTTTTTGGTGAAAGGGGCGCCAAACTTCAGGGGCATTTTTGTGATTATACAAAAATTTGTTTTTTCGGTAATACCTCTCAGCTCTAGTCCGATACTAAAACCCCACCGTTCTCTTCTGGTTCCCCGTCGGGAAATTCCAGACCGCTGTTGGCCAAATCCGCTTCTCGATTTCTGTCTTCTCTCCCTCTCCCTCTCGAGCAGCAACAACTAAGTTGCAGTCATTAAGGTATTGCTTTTGTTCATCTAACGTTGTACCATAGAATGCACACCAAGCGTTGGATGATATGTCCAATCAACATTTCCAATCTTGGTGGTTTGTTTTTTGCTTGCTATTTCTGTTCTAGTGTCTTATGTTGCGTACTTCTTGTCTTATGTTTCTGTTCAATTTCTTACGTTTGTGATTTGCTATTCCTTTGGTGCTCGATGTTAAAATGCATGAAATAAACATGTTGGAATAATGGTAGGCTAGTCAATTTTCTTGTTCAAAGTTAGGCAAGTTAGGTTAGTCAAGCAAGGTAGGTAAGTTAGACAAAATTAAGCTTATGATCTTTTTCTTCCTTATATATATGTTTCATCTTGTAATTGTTTCATCAAGCAAATATACATCAAAATTCAATATGGTATCAGAGCTGTGATCTGGAAAAAACCACAAAACACAGCTCTAAAGCAACCACGAGGTCAACCATTCTAGGCATGGCCTCTCATTCAAAATGGGAAAATCCCAACCACCCGCTCTATCTCCACCACTCGGATCAACCTGGTGCAATCCTCGTACCACAACCATTGGTGGAAGACAACTACAACACATGGGTTCAATCCATGAGTATGGCCTTAACGGTCAAGAACAAACTTGGTTTTGTTGATGGGACGATCAACAAACCAAGTGAGGATAATTTTGAGGAGCTGCAGCAATGGAATCGCTGCAACAACTTGGTCAAGACATGGCTACTAGGCTCCATGTCAAAGGAGATTTCAGGGAGTGTCATCAACTACAAGGATGCTCGATAAATGTGGACTGATCTGCAGGAGAGGTTCTCACATGTGAATATAGTTCAGCTGTTCCATGTTGAGAACGAGATCCATGATTGCGTCCAAAGCAATATGAGTGTAAGTTCTTACTTCACTAAACTTAAAAGTTTATGGGATGAACGTGATACTTTGTGTTCCATTCCAGCATGCAGTTGTGGAACAAAGAATGAGATGAACTCATATGTTGAAACTCAGAAAACCATGAAGTTCTTTATGGGACTGAACGAATCGTATGCTACGGTTCGAAGCAATACTTTTCTTCTCGAACCACTGCCTACGGTGAACAAGGCATATGCATTAGTCATTCGACATGAACGCCAGACAGAGGTTTCCAATGGGAAAAGCACACAACTAGAAACTGCAGTCTTTGCAGTGAAGAATCTGTCGCGAGAACCTACACCTGAAGACAAGGAGATGCGATGTGGAAAGTGCAATAAAACCAATCACATCACCAAACATTGTCGTGCACATCTCAAGTGCACTTTTTGCGGATGGAAAGGCCACACCTTCGATTTCTGTCGAAAACGGAAAGCAGCCACAGAGACCGAATCCAATCGTCTCTTTTCTTCAAAGGGCAATCAAGTTTCACAAAGTAACAAGCAAGAGACAGTGCCTAATTTCCCGTTCTCTCAGGAGGACTGCAAGCAAATCCTTCAGATGTTGAACAAGAACAAATCATCATTTGCCAATCAAGTCAGTAATCCTCCTAGTCATGAAGAACTTTCAGGTAAAGCCTTCTCTTTTTCATGTAAAGGAACCAAAAGTATTTGGATCCTGGACAGTGGTGCCACGGATCACATAGTTTGCAGTCCTAGTCTCCTTACACACTCACGAGCTGTTGAAAATCATACAGTTGAACTGCCAGATGGTTCCGTTGCCAAAGTCACTCACATTGGACAAGTTGTTTTCTCTCATGATCTTATCCTTGAAAATGTCCTATGTGTGCCGTTCTTTAGGTTGAATTTAATATCTATCAGTAAACTAGCCTATGATTCCTTATATGTCACCATTTTCTTCACCCAATTTTGTGTCATTCAGGACCTTCACTCGGGGAAGATGATTGGGACAGGAACTGAAAGGGATGGACTTTACTACCTCGACCCATCAAAGAAAGGAACATGCAACAATATTCAAATCGTCTCACCAAAGCTTTGGCACCAACGCCTAGGACACCCATCTCATAAAGCCACTTCGTTATTACCTTTATTTAACAATAAGGCTTGTGATTTGGAAAAATGTTTAATTTGCCCATCTTTCCTTTGAGCTCTATTTCTACCAAATCATGTTTTGAATTATTGCATATTGATATTTGGGGTGGTTATCAAGTTGCTTCTATTTCAGGTGCCAAGTATTTCCTTACCATCGTAGATGACTACACTAGAAGCACTTGGGTTTATTTGATGAAACATAAATCTGACACAAAAGACATTTTAGTCGGATTCATTCAAATGATTGAGACTCAATTCAATACCAGAGTTCAAATCATACGAAGTGACAATGGCCCTGAGTTTAAGCTTGAGCAATTTTATGCTCTCAAAGGCATCATACATCAATCTAGTTGTGTCAACACACCACAACAAAATGGTGTTGCCGAACGTAAACACCGACATTTGCTCAATGTTGCTCGGGCTTTGCTCTTTCAAGCTTGTTTGCCAAAACGTTTTTGGGGGGATGCAATCTTAACCTCAGCCTACCTCATCAATAGAACACCCACTCCACTTCTCCAAGGTAAAACACCTTACGAAAAACTGTTTCACAAAGCACCTAACTATTCCCATTTAAAGGTTTTCGGTAGTTTATGTTTTGCTTCTACACACGCCCAAAGGCCCTCTAAATTCGACCCCTGTGCAATCCAATGCATTTTTCTTGGGTATCCTTATGGTCAAAAGGGTTATAAATTGTTTGATATAAAACACAATAAGACTTTTGTTTCTAGGGATGTTGTTTTTTTTGAAAATCATTTTCCATTCCAAAATCATACCACTTCCGTTGCCCCGTCTCCATCAAACATTACACCCTCACCCATCACGTTTGACTTGACCTCTCCCATTGAGTCGCACTCAAGCCTTGCACCCGAAGAAATAAACACCACCTCTCCCACACTTACCGACATCACATCATTCTCATCTCCTTTACCTACTACAACTCCACCACCAGATACCTTATCAACACCTTCACATACCCTACACTCTTCCCCACCTCCAACCACTCCATCACCAGACCAACCACCTCCACTCCGTCGTAGCACTCGACCGACCAAAACTTCCACATTTTTGCAGGACTTTCATGTTGAGGTGGCCCTCCCTTCCCGTGTTGCTCCCACATCTTCCACAAGCATGGTCCAGTCATCAGGTACATCTCACCCCATATCTCATTATTTATCTTATGACCATGTATCCCCCACTCACAAAACCTTTCTCACCACCTCACCATTATCAAAGAACCCACTAGTTTTTCGCAGGCTGTTCAGGATCCAAAATGGCGTGACGCCATGCAAAAAGAGATTGTTGCCCTTCATGACAATCGCACTTGGACTCTTGTGCCCTTACCACCTCACAAACATCTCATCGGTTGCAAATGGATCTATAAGGTGAAGCTTAAACCTGACGGCAGTGTTGAACGCTACAAAGCTCGTCTCGTTGCTAAAGGCTACAGTCAAATTGAGGGGCTTGATTATCGGGAAACTTTTGCTCCAGTTGCCAAGCTCACCACCGTCCGCGTCCTCCTGAGTATTGCCTCCATACGAGGCTGGCATCTTCATCAACTTGATGTGAACAACGCATTTTTGCATGGTGACTTATACGAGGAGGTTTATATGTCCCTGCCTCCTGGGTTCGGACGAAAGGGGGAGACACGAGTATGCAAATTACACAAATCCATTTATGGTTTAAAACAGGCCTCGAGACAATGGTTTATCAAGCTGTCTAGTGCTCTCAAGACTGCTGGTTTTCATCAATCATGGTCAGATCACTCATTGTTCGTCCGAAACCGTCAAGGCAGTTTCATGGCATTACTTGTGTATGTTGATGACGTGATACTTGCAGGTAACAATTTGAGAGAAATTGAAGAGACTAAACTCTTCCTTTCCCAACATTTTAAACTAAAGGATTTGGGAAAACTCAAATACTTTTTGGGGATAGAAGTTGCAAGATCTAAACAAGGGATTGCCTTGTGCCAACGCAAATATGCGTTGGAGATACTAGAAGATGCTGGGTTCCTTGGTGCGAAGCCCTCACGATTACCAATGGAACCAAACATGTCCCTTACACAAACTGATGGGACGCTCCTACATGATCCTTCTTCATACAGGCGACTCGTAGGGAGGCTGATTTACTTAACCATCACGCGACCTGACCTGACTTATGTGGTTAATATGTTGAGCCAATTCATGGACAAGCCACAACAACCACACCTTGAAGCGGTGCATAAGGTTCTCAGGTACATCAAACAATCTCCTGGACAGGGAATTCTTTTGCCTTCTACAGGTTCACTACAACTACAAGCCTTTTGTGATGCTGATTGGGCTCGGTGTAAAGACACTAGAAGGTCAATAACCGGTTATTGTATCTTCCTTGGACAAGCACCGATATCTTGGAAAACGAAGAAACAAAACACAATATCTCGTTCCAGTGCAGAGGCAGAATACCGTTCTATGGCTACTACTTGTTGTGAAGTTATATGGCTAAGAAACATTTTGAAGGACTTGCAAGTAAATCATGCACAACCAGTCACAATGTTTTGTGATAATCAAGCTGCCATGCACATTGCTTCGAACCCAGTGTTTCATGAACGAACGAAGCATATAGAGATAGACTGTCACTTAGTACGTGAGAAGATTCAAATGGGAATGGTGCAAACAGCTTACATACGGACCTCGAATCAACTTGCAGACTTGTTCACCAAACCACTAAGTTCGGCACAATTTGAGGTCTTAATTAGCAAGTTGGGTGTCATCGACATTCACACTCCAACTTGAGGGGGAGTGTTAAAATGCATGAAATAAACATGTTGGAATAATGGTAGGCTAGTCAATTTTCTTGTTCAAAGTTAGGCAAGTTAGGTTAGTCAAGCAAGATAGGTAAGTTAGGCAAAATTAAGCTTATGATCTTTTTCTTCCCTATATATATGTTTCATCTTGTAATTGTTTCATCAAGCAAATATACATCAAAATTCAATACTCGAAAAATCCCAGAATTTGATATTCTCAAACTCAGTTGTTTTTCTCTTGATTTAATGTTCATCTATTACAAATCCACCATTTGATTGGGTTGGTTTGTTGGTTTGTACGGGATGTGTGTGGGTGTGGCGCGTGAAATGTTGTGGGTTTTCAAGCTAAAAGATTTATGTGGACCGGTTTATCTTTTTTTCTTTAGAAAAATCAAATTTGAATGTCGTAGTTGAATTCTATTACTCATTGAGTTTCAGGGCACTTTGAGTTTGAAGGATACGAAACTGCAGTAATCAAGATGGGTGTGAAACTAGATGGTGGCACTATTGCGCCTGCAACGGAACAGGTATGGATGAATTCTTATTTTATTTTATCTTTGTGTAAATCAATTGGTTATATTTTATCTAGAAGCTCTGTAAGATCTGCTTGCAGTCATGATTCTACTCAGTCTCATTGGATATGTTTGTTAGATGTTTTGTTAGGTGGAGATATTCGAGTTTTTTTGGCATTTTAGTTATAATAGCTCTCTGGTTCAAGCTGGAGGAGAGGGGGAGTTTGGAATGTCTTTCACTTACGAAATTTAAAAATAAATGGGCAGTATCTTAATTTGCAGGAGAAGGTTTCTGATGAGTTAGATAAGAGAGTGAAGAAGTTTCTAAGAGGTGCAGAAGCCAATTTGGAGGTATGGCCTAGAAAGTTTGATTTTTCATGAAACTTTTTACTTGCTTTTTTGTCACCGTATCTTGAATTTTTTTTTTCGTTTTCGGGGCTTGCAAGATAAGAAATTGAAGGGTCAACTCGCTGTTAGAGAAGAATTATATGGAAAATCTGCACAAGCCGCTGCCAAGGCTGAGAAGGTGATTTATTTATTTTAATGTGATTTGTCAGTCTTTTCAAACTTTGAATGGAAGCGAAAAAGAATCTTATATAGTGCCATGCTTAAGTAGTAGACCGGATTCTGTATTTTCTGTTTTCCAGTTGCATACTTTTAGTATTAGAATTTTCTCTGATTTACTGATTTAGTTCATACCGGTCAATCTTTTATATGATATTTTGCTTCTCCTGTTCTTTTAGTCCATGTCATACTCATGACAATTGATTTGAATGTTTTTTTCTTTATTTTTTATTTTTATCAAAATTATCAGTGGCTTCTGCCAAGTGAGGGAGGCTATTTGGAGACTGAAGGTATGCCAATTTATTAGTAATGCTAACCATCTTAACCACTGTTCTTTTTAGCTAAATTGTTCATTTTGGACTGCCTACAGTCCAAGATACTTGAAAAATCACTTGAATATGACATGGCTCCTTAATAACGACTAGGAACATAAATAGTGAACAGAACATAAAACGCAAACAAAACAAATAAATTAATCTATTATTGCAAATGCTAATTTTCTTTTCGCATGTCTCTGTGTTTGAGTTATCTCATGGTGGTGTATGTATTATGAACCTGCTAATCACTTATTTCTTGACTTCGTGTTCCTGAAGAGTCTATATAAAAGATGGAATGAAGTTTATAAAGCTCTCCAGATAGATTCGTGATGGTATGTAACATTAAAAGTATTTTAAGATTGGTGCATTATCTTATTACTCAAACTATCTGTGATTCCGGTCTTTTTATGATAAATGCTTAATTCACAATTAAAAGCAATTCTGAACTGTGATTTGCCGCCTGTAAAACAGTACTGCTTTCCCTTTATAAAGTGGTTTAGGTGAATTCTTAGGCAGGTCAGGTAAAACGTTTCAATAGTAGGAAATGAAACCTTCATCAACTGTGACATGTCAAAGAGTTCCTTGTGATTGCGTTGTTAAGGCAACCCTAATATTCAGATGCATCGTTATGGAACTAAAGTTATACTTCTTATCATATAGGAACATGGCACAGTTTTAAGGCTTCAGTTTTTGAAAAATCACTTTCTCTTGGCATCAGTAAACAAATTTGGGCATCTTCGTTACAGGACGTAACAATGGGCAGGATGATAGGTAGTTACAGGACAGGCTTAGGCCGTACTGATGCGATGCAGGTGAACCCCTACAACGGGGTTTTTGCTTTGGGTCATTCGGGTGGTAAAGTTTCCATGTGGAAACCTACAAG